TTTGGCATCGGACGACACTGTCCTACCCATCCAAAACAAATAATATTATAAATCTGGTAATTAGTGATACTATAAAAACATAAATTAATGATATTATAAATGTATTTAGTCTATCAATGATATTATCAAGACATAACTTGTTAACCAATGATATAAGCAATTAATTATTTTAATGGTCCACATTGACTTACTTATAAATATGATGTATTTTTTATTCTATATTTTCATATATTTTCTATTACTTTTATTTTTTTTGTGCTTTTATTAACTTGAGTGACCAATAATTTCTTACATTTGAATTCCTAAGTTGTTTATTAAATACCAAACATAAGAAGGATCTCAGTTTTTGTAAGAACAATGTCTAAATATCTTAATTACAAACTAAGGGCCTTATGACAAAAACAAATTATGGAACGAAAAGAAAGAAAGATCGAATTAAGAAATTCTTTTGATTTTGATTTTTAATTTAGCCAAACCGAAAATTAATCAAAGCCGAAACGTAAGATTCTAAGTTATATCTGACAAATGTGGGGTAGTATAACTTGGAAGAAATATCTCAGCTGCGGGTCCCTTCCAAATGAAAAAGCTAGACTTGTCTTGTCATGCCTTGGAGTGGGTCATCCCTATCCAACCAATTAAGAAATTAATTCATAAATATAAATAAATAAATTACTCCAACGAACGAGAGAGCTTAGTGCATACCCTAGTCAACAAGCGGTGTTAGAAATTGCTCCATCCCATCGTTTTCTCCTTCTACACTACGATTTGTTACTTCAGCCGTGCCACTAACTGAACGCCCCCGTTCTTCGGAAACTTAATTATTCTCTTATTCTCTTTTCCGTTTTGTTTATCGATGCCACGTCTCGATCGCGGTGATGTTTGGAAGAGCAAGGCGCGATCCCTGCAGTTACAGCTCAGGGACCGCTTCCGAGTCGCCGTCGACCGCCATTGGCGCCGCCGCCAACACCACACCTTCATTCCAGCTGCAGACGTCTACTTCTCCTCCACTATTCAACGTTGGCTTACCAGATTTCGTGATTTCCGAAGAGAATCGTTGCCTTCGTCCACCTCTTTCTATCGCAAACGAGGTGCCTGATTAATTAACGATTTTACAAGCAATCTGTAAATATGTTTTCTCCAATATTGTGACGGGATTCAAATTAAATATACGATAGGTGCTATTTGCTAGGTTTTTCACTCGATGTTTTTTTGCCTCTGTATTTAAAGTTACTAGGGATTTCAGTTCGGAAGAGGATTCGACTCTTGTTCGTATGATGCAAGCAGTTGCCGTTCCTGTTATTGGAAATGTTTGTCATGTGTTTATGAACGGATTAAACCGTGTGCAGGTATGATATTCCACGTATATTTCTTGTTTGGTTTATCATATCTTGCATTCTGATTTGTGATGGAACTGTTTTATGTGTGGAAGAATAGGTGTATGGTTTAGAAAAACTGCACTCCCCCTTGCTGCATAGACCTCAGGGTAAACCTCTTCTTACGGTACGAGCTCTTCCTAGCTGTGGAACAGGAATCTATGTTTGTTTGGGTTTAATTATTTGGTGAGGCTTTTCTTTTGTCCTTTCGTTTTCAGGTCAGCAATCATGTTGCTTCCATGGATGATCCGCTTGTCATTGCTTCTCTTCTTCCTCCTAGTGTTCTTTTGGATGCTAGGAATCTTAGATGGACGCTTTGTGCAACTGATAGGTGTTTTAAAAACCCCGTTACTTCTGCATTTTTTCGATCTGTCAAAGTCTTGCCAGTTTCTCGGGGTGATGGGATTTATCAGGAGGTATTGATCTAAGACATAAGCTGAAAGCCTTTTACATTGTTTGTAATATTGGTCAATGATTCTCACGAACTTTTGTCATCCAATTTGAGGTTTTTGAGTCTATGATAATAGCTAAACTCTGGTGAAGATCTCACTGTTCTTTGTTTTTACCTTCATCTGTCTCTTGCTTCCCCCTTGCCTCTCTGAACTGAAGCTTCTATAGTTAGGGATGATTGCAATTACTTTCTTCTTTGTAGGGAATGGACTTGGCCCTTTCAAAATTGAACAATGGTAGCTGGGTCCACATATTCCCAGAAGGTAGCCGCTCCCGGGATGGTGGAAAAACCATGGGCTCTTCCAAGAGAGGTGTTGGGAGGTAACAATTTTCCTTAGTAGTTTGCAGTAAGTTTTGCTTGTTTCGTGTTATGCAGGCCGGTTTTTTCTTACACTTTATTTGTCTCATAGCAATATTATTTTCTGATTGTTTAATGTATTACGATTTAAATTATTAATTAAAGAAATAGTTGGTTCTCAAGAACATTTTCACAATCTATTTTTCCTTATATTCTAATAGAAATTAGGAACGTAGATAAGTTCTGAAAAAGAAGTTCTGTATTACCATTACATGCCAAAAATTATTGTTATTTACTCAAATGACATTTTGACCAAATGAAGTCGAATGGAAACTAAAAGTTATTTAAGTGTCATATTCTAAATTATAGTTCTGAAGTGTTGATGAGGATGTAAAATTTACTAGTTCTCTTCTTTAAAAATTTAATGATGTTATGCACGATCCTTTAAACTCTGATGTTTTGATATCATTGATATACAATATGATTTTTTAGGTTTTGTTCTCATGATTTCAGGCCATGTATCTGTCTCTGGCCTCATAGAATATCTTAGTCAAGGTTCAAAGATACTTCTTTATATTTATGTGTGCTGTGGTCATAATGTGATGTTAATTTACCATCAGTGATTTGCCATGGTCCATAATAATTGAATTATTAATTTCTAAAATAGTTGTTATGTTACATTTGGAGACTGTGTTTCATATTTGTACTATTATTTCTTTTCTTTTTAGTAAACTTGTTCATGTGTATGGGGTCAATACTGTACTTTCATCTGCTAAATTTCAGTTCTCTTTATTTCTGCTATTTTTTAATTTATTAGTGTAAAACATGTTCTTGACTTAAACTTCTACCATCAGGTTGGTCCTGGATGGAGATAGGACGCCCCTTGTTGTCCCATTTGTACATACAGGGATGCAGGAGATCATGCCTATAGGTGCTAACTTTCCCAGAATAGGCAAAAGTGTACGTATTCTTGATTCTTGATTCATTTCTTCGAATATTTTATCATCATATATGAGGTTTTCATTGCTGCATGGAGTTAGACTGCTGCACTCATTCCTTGGGATGAAGATGTTCAATTACAGAATCTAGATTCTGCATGGCCTGGGATATATTTTTATTGACGGGATTAATTTTAGTTGTTTTTTATTTTTTAGTTTAAATTTCATACTCTGATCAGTATGGCATGGTTGGATTTTCTAGGTTACAGTGCTCATAGGTGATCCGATCAATTTTGATGATATACTTGAACTTGACACGGAGAAAGGCTTGGATGTGCCAAGAAGACGACTGTATGATGCAATAGCATCTAGAATTGGCGATCGGTTGCAGGAACTGAAGGCCCAGGTTGACACTTTAGCTGAACAGGAAATGCAACCACAAGATCACTCCCCACGCAGCACTGAACGAACATCTGAAATATTGCAGCAGGTTGATTGGGAATTATTTGGAATGGATAGCTTCATGTCTGAAGATGATTCCAAACAGAGACAAGAAACAGTTTCCCTCCCAATTGTTAGTGTTTCTCGGCCTCAACAATCTAATGATGGCGATCAGAGTTGGAGAGCCGGATTCTCATACAGAATGCGTGGTTATACAGATCAGATGGAGCTTGTGTCATTTGCTGCCAGAGGCATATTTATGAATTATGAAACGAAGAACAATGCCGGCTGTAGTAGAGAGGTAGGTCCCTTAAAGGCATGGAAGCAGTTTTTGGAAGCAAATCTATTACGGCAATGGAATTACGTCCATCACTGAAAACATAGTTTATATCAGTGTGTAAATTAAAATAATCGGGTTCCGATTAATAATTGAGATTTTGTTAGACAAGCGGTTAAACGTAGTTAAATTGCTGAGAATTTGTAACTTAAATAGCATTTGCTTATTCGTATAGTATATAAGTTTGAGGGCGGAATTACATTGTGGCAAGGCGTCCTGAAGATAGAACTGTAAAAGCCCTTTCATACTATCTTTTGGAAAAACTATAGGAAGGAAGCACCGAGTAGGACAAAAATAAAATTTGTTATATAAACAGTAGTTGTCTAATGTTTATTAATTTTTAGAGAATACATTTTAGCAAGTAGCAATTTTGATTTTCTAAAAGTATATTCCCAGTTAAAAAAGAGAGCATACAAATATCTCGCGTGTATGCATCGTACTTTCATCAAAGAGTATATGATGCTTTCACTTCTTACCTAAACATGGAAGTAATTGATCTAACTCAAATATTCATATATCTATACTTGAGATGGCAGATATTTTAAATTTGATCATAATATTCTATTTTAATTCCTATATTTACTGACTAAATGCAAACTTTTTGTTAGATAGCTTAGTTCTATGAAAGAAAGCTCACTTCTTTAAAGCAAGAACATTGCATGTGCAGCTTTTATGTTGCCTAAATGTATGATAGAAGTTTTATCATTAACAGACGAAAATATTTAGAATTTTGAAGAAGTTGCTGATTTTTGTGTAAAATTAGTGTATCCAGTGTTTTTTTGTTTTCAATCGGCGCATTAAATAATGAAAGTTTTAAAAACAGTTACCATTACCGACATTATTTAAAACCTATTCATTCCTTCATAAATCAGAATAACTGGTTTGTCTACTAGTTAATGGTAGTACTGCGAATAGGGGAACAGGAATATTGTTAGGTACTTTGAGCCTTTTTAGCAATTTATTGAAGTGGTAATGTATTGTATGATGTTGAGAGAGCGTGATTGTGGAGCAAAATGATTTGAGCCGAAACCGGAAGCTATGGCCTATGCAATAAACTTTACAGATCACACACTAGCTCCACACATTACACAACGATGTATTAAGTATGATTATTAGACGAGGTTGGGCCCATTATGTTTTGAATTGTGGAGCCCATCAGCCTGATTGGCGAAGAAGCCTTCCCTTCTCTTCTCTCCTATATCATTCGGAAAAAGACGAGACCACGACACAATGAGATCTTCATTTCATTTCGCATTTCATTTTAAATAAAATCGCGTTTTCTCCTCTTAACCCAGACATGGCAGAAGAAGAAGAAGAATCGGAGCTCAGCGATAAGCACAAGGTGGAAATCGCCAAATGGTTCCTCCTCAACTCTCCTCCTGGGGAAATCAAATACGTTGCCAAAGGTTCTTCTTCTTCTTCTTCTTCTTCCTTTTTCCTTTTCTTTCTATCTATCTATTGTTCCACAATTCGATTAATTCATCAATCATTTCTGCAGATGTCAAATCCATTCTCAACAACGACGATTTGTACAATGAGGCCGCTTCCGAGGCTTTTCCCTTTTACAACAAATCCCACTTGATTTCCCTTCAAATGGCCAATCGTAGCGGAGACGTAACACTCTCTCTCTCTCTCTCTCTCTCACTCACTCATTCACTCACTCACTCATTCACTCACTCTCACTTAACAACTTATTTTCCTAGGGTTTCGTCGTTAATTTTCGATTAGTTTTTAGTTCGTTCAGTGGATTTTATTTTCTAATTTCTTGCAGGTACTGGTTACTTCGTTTGGTGAACTTGAGGGTAATGCGTTTCTTGAACCTAGAACTGCTCAAGTAGCAATTGTTGACCATGTTAAACAAGTAAGTACCACAAGTAACCATAGTTTCTTACATACTATTTCAGGAGCTATTTTTGAGTTTTAATATCCGTGCTTCGTTTATCTTTTGGTTTCTTTTTTAAGGAAGGGAATGTGAAGACTAGACATTTCTTATGCTCACTAGTTTTAATTTCTTTAGTTCAGCTTTAGCTCAGCTTTAGTAGTAATCAAAGTGGAACAGGTTAATGTTTAGATTTACTTTAATCTGAATCTTCATGCATTGATCTTAACTTTAGTATATCAATGTATACAGTGAAGCATTATAAGGTTCAAATCTATACTTTTCAAACTTGCTTCCTGGAACATGCGTTTTAGCTTTAGTATATCAATGTATACATTGAAGCATTATAAGGTTCAACTCTATGCGTTTCAAACTTGCTTCCTGGAACATTCGTTTTAGCTTTGAAAGTGTGGATTAAGCAAATCATGAATTTTTTTGCTGCTTTAATTATCTGTGACTTTTGTGATAAGTAGGTTAAAGTGCAGTAGTTCTAGGCTGTGTGCTTGTTGTCTTATGATAGTATGCTTAATGTCTCAGGTTTGTACAGATGTGAGACCTGCCACAGACGAAGAACTTGCATCTGCATATGTTGAAGAATTTCGGTAATTGTCTGATTTTCTTCGCTGTTGAAGTATTTCATGTTTGATAATCTAATGTTCCTTTACCAGAGCGAGCTTCAAAATCTATTCAGAGGCAGAACATACTAATTCATGTTAAACTCATTGAATATTTTCTCTTTTCAAATAAATTAATCTCTGTTGCTTCAGTAATATATTATTCCTTGACTTTTACCTGCCCAATCTTGTTAACGGTAGATTGCTCTGGAAATATTTTCTTCAGTGCTAATTCGTAATCCACTTAGATTTGTGGTTTCCTTGGAGCTGTTTTATTGGGAATGTGTACTGTATTTTAGTTAGCAAGTAGGCTCAATACTGATTCTAGTTAATATCCCGCTATTTATTCTTTTAAATAAAAAAAATTATATTGTTGATGTTTGAGGACGTGAAATAGTGGTTCAACCCTTTAATAAAGTAAATTGATTATCACATTTTTATATCTTTGTTCTTGTACATTGTTTGCATTTCACGGTATTTGTTTTCTGCAGATGCAATCTGGACGTTGAAGTACTTAAATATGTTGAAGAAGCCTATCCAAAAGGTGTCTGCTCTGTTTACTGCATAAATGGGAAAGATGTAGAGGGCCCAGGTTCGAATTTTGAGCTTGCTGTGGTGATTTCTGCTGCTAGGCACAGCCCACAAAATTTCTGGTTTGTGAAATAAGTTGACTGAAATTCCAACTATTTTTTTTTTATTGATACTATCTACCATACCAGTTCCGAATAAGAACATTGATACATTAATAATGTCAATATACTTTGATTTTTCTTTGGCTTTTGTTCATAGCAATGGGAGTTGGTCTTCAGTATGGAATATTGAGTTCAAGTATGATCAACAAGCAGTGGAATTAAAGGGTAAAATGGAGGTAATATTGTATGGATATTTATGCATTAATTTTGAACGATATGGTGCAAGGTTCTTAAAACTTGATTATTTTTAACCCCTTTTCAGGTGGGTGCCCATTATTTTGAGGAAGGAAATGTGCAGTTAGATGCGAAGCACGAGTGCAAAGATACAATTATTTTTCAGGTTACCAAAAATCAGCATTAGACATTTTATTTTTATTAGGTGTGGATGCACTGCTCAAGTCTTTCCATAGTTATTTTCCGATAGATGTACTTGTATTCTACAAGCCAAAGAATATTTTAGTAAATGTATGTTACACAATAATGAGGTTGAGATAGAAATGGATTGTTAGAAAGGAAACATTTATCTAATTATGTTTCTGTTAAAGGTTATCTATTGATATTTTATTATTTTATTTTATTTTAGGCCCCCGAAGAATGTGCAATTGCCATAACAAGCATTATTCGTCATCATGAAACGGAGTACTTTGCTTCTCTTGAGGTTCTGAATTTGTTTGTTGTGGCTAGGGTCTTTCATTCTTTCTATCTTAATAATGTGCACATGGTTTTCTAATGACCATAACTTGACAGGCATCATATCTAAACCTTTCTGATTCGACTTTCAAGGTAACCCCCGTTATGTCATCTGCATTTTTTCAATTTAAGCTTCAGATGTGGTATTTCTGTGAAGTCTGGTGATTTTTTATTCTCATTAAACCATGTATCTAACATTTCTCATTAATCCGTGTCCTGACTGAGACTGAACATCTTTAAGTTGTTTTTTTTTATTATCCTTTTTCTGACCGAATAAAGTATTTTATGGTATTGATATTATATATAATTTATATGATCAATCCGAATTACCTGGGTGTATGAGTGAAAAAGGTAATAAAAAGGGCAAGTTATATGTGATACCTTTCATACGTATATCTATAGCATTATCTATTGAATTTGAAGGCTATTCATTATATTATCTGCAGGATCTTCGGCGAAAGCTTCCCGTGACCCGCACCTTATTTCCATGGAATAATACTTTGCAATTTAGCTTGACAAGAGACATATCAAAAGAACTTGGCATTGGAAAGTAAATACACACAGTCACACAGAACTAATAGAAGTTTGTGTTTTTACTGGAACTCGGTGGGACAAGTTCTTCATATATTCACTGCATATCATATATCAAGCCAATCATTCTTTAGGTTGACGTTCTTTATATTCACTCATTTGCGTCATGAAGCTTCCTCCTTTGTCTGAGTGAGTATCTTCCGCTGATGTACTGTAGNTAAAGTGCAGTAGTTCTAGGCTGTGTGCTTGTTGTCTTATGATAGTATGCTTAATGTCTCAGGTTTGTACAGATGTGAGACCTGCCACTGACGAAGAACTTGCATCTGCATATGTTGAAGAATTTCGGTAATTGTCTGATTTTCTTCGCTGTTGAAGTATTTCATGTTTGATAATCTAATGTTCCTTTACCAGAGCGAGCTTCAAAATCTATTCAGAGGCAGAACATACTAATTCATGTTAAACTCATTGAATATTTTCTCTTTTCAAATAAATTAATCTCTGTTGCTTCAGTAATATATTATTCCTTGACTTTTACCTGCCCAATCTTGTTTACGGTAGATTGCTCTGGAAATATTTTCTTCAGTGCTAATTCGTAATCCACTTAGATTTGTGGTTTCCTTGGAGCTGTTTTATTGGGAATGTGTACTGTATTTTAGTTAGCAAGTAGGCTCAATACTGATTCTAGTTAATATCCCGCTATTTATTCTTTTAAATAAAAAAAATTATATTGTTGATGTTTGAGGACGTGAAATAGTGGTTCAACCCTTTAATAAAGTAAATTGATTATCACATTTTTATATCTTTGTTCTTGTACATTGTTTGCATTTCACGGTATTTGTTTTCTGCAGATGCAATCTGGACGTTGAAGTACTTAAATATGTTGAAGAAGCCTATCCAAAAGGTGTCTGCTCTGTTTACTGCATAAATGGGAAAGATGTAGAGGGCCCAGGTTCGAATTTTGAGCTTGCTGTGGTGATTTCTGCTGCTAGGCACAGCCCACAAAATTTCTGGTTTGTGAAATAAGTTGACTGAAATTCCAACTATTTTTTTTTTATTGATACTCTCTACCATACCAGTTCCGAATAAGAACATTGATACATTAATAATGTCAATATACTTTGATTTTTCTTTGGCTTTTGTTCATAGCAATGGGAGTTGGTCTTCAGTATGGAATATTGAGTTCAAGTATGATCAACAAGCAGTGGAATTAAAGGGTAAAATGGAGGTAATATTGTATGGATATTTATGCATTAATTTTGAACGATATGGTGCAAGGTTCTTAAAACTTGATTATTTTTAACCCCTTTTCAGGTGGGTGCCCATTATTTTGAGGAAGGAAATGTGCAGTTAGATGCGAAGCACGAGTGCAAAGATACAATTATTTTTCAGGTTACCAAAAATCAGCATTAGACATTTTATTTTTATTAGGTGTGGATGCACTGCTCAAGTCTTTCCATAGTTATTTTCCGATAGATGTACTTGTATTCTACAAGCCAAAGAATATTTTAGTAAATGTATGTTACACAATAATGAGGTTGAGATAGAAATGGATTGTTAGAAAGGAAACATTTATCTAATTATGTTTCTGTTAAAGGTTATCTATTGATATTTTATTATTTTATTTTATTTTAGGCCCCCGAAGAATGTGCAGTTGCCATAACAAGCATTATTCGTCATCATGAAACGGAGTACTTTGCTTCTCTTGAGGTTCTGAATTTGTTTGTTGTGGCTAGGGTCTTTCATTCTTTCTATCTTAATAATGTGCACATGGTTTTCTAATGACCATAACTTGACAGGCATCATATCTAAACCTTTCTGATTCGACTTTCAAGGTAACCCCCGTTATGTCATCTGCATTTTTTCAATTTAAGCTTCAGATGTGGTATTTCTGTGAAGTCTGGTGATTTTTTATTCTCATTAAACCATGTATCTAACATTTCTCATTAATCCGTGTCCTGACTGAGACTGAACATCTTTAAGTTGTTTTTTTTTATTATCCTTTTTCTGACCGAATAAAGTATTTTATGGTATTGATATTATATATAATTTATATGATCAATCCGAATTACCTGGGTGTATGAGTGAAAAAGGTAATAAAAAGGGCAAGTTATATGTGATACCTTTCATACGTATATCTATAGCATTATCTATTGAATTTGAAGGCTATTCATTATATTATCTGCAGGATCTTCGGCGAAAGCTTCCCGTGACCCGCACCTTATTTCCATGGAATAATACTTTGCAATTTAGCTTGACAAGAGACATATCAAAAGAACTTGGCATTGGAAAGTAAATACACACAGTCACACAGAACTAATAGAAGTTTGTGTTTTTACTGGAACTCGGTGGGACAAGTTCTTCATATATTCACTGCATATCATATATCAAGCCAATCATTCTTTAGGTTGACGTTCTTTATATTCACTCATTTGCGTCATGAAGCTTCCTCCTTTGTCTGAGTGAGTATCTTCCGCTGATGTACTGTAGTTCATTGTAGTTCTTTTTTGACATTATTTGTATAGCCGAAGAGTTCGCCTTGTTTCTGTCCATCATACCTAAGAAGATTCTGATTGCAGTTCAAAATATTGCAAGAAGTTTGTTCACTACTCGCTATAGTTGTTTTAATTTTATTATTTTTTGTTATTATAAAAAAAAAGGTGAATACATGTGTTTTCAGTATGAGTTGATAACATTTGTTAGATGAGACTAAATAAAATATAAATGGAAACTAAACCCATTTAGGTCATGCCAATTTTTTAAACTGTCATCTACATTTATCATTATTTTAGGTGTATTTTAAAGTTTTATTATAAAATAAATGTTTTGAAGTTGGATTTAACCTTTTAAACATCGGATTTTTAACTAAGAAAAGAGACTTATTTAATAATACAACATTCTTTTATATAAATCGAATATTTGAAGATTCATTTAAGGTAAAGTGCAGGTTTACTTAATTTTTTTTGTTTCAGTTTTTGTCTGAAAATGTTAAGTTGGATTTTAAAATTTTGTAGTCTTAATTTAATGGGGTTTAGATTTGTGAAAAATTGATGCAATTAAATAGTTGTTGTTGATATTATATAAACTAAATTAAAGATAGTTTCATTTTGAAATTTTTATTCGTATTTTTGAAAGTATTATTTTTATGTGTTATTTCAAACTTGTGTCATGTATATTTCTGTCATGTGACATTTTAGTATGACATGACAGTATTATATGATAAAATAATTTAATCTAGTCATAATTTGTTAGAAAAAAACAATGTTGCTCTTTTTTAAATTGGGATAAATTTTTTTTTTGTATAAATCTTAATATTTTTATAAATTTTATTAAATATTTCAAGAATTGTATTTAAATCAATTATAACAAATTGTAATAAATAAATTTTTATTTATCTAAACTTATTTAATTAATAATTATATATAATTTTTTATTTTAACTTTTATCTATATTAATAAATTTAATAATTTTTATATACTTGATTTATTTTAACAAAAACTGGGATGAAAAATTTAATTTAGTCTTAATAAAGAATTGTTTAAATGTAATTTATTTAAATAAAATCTATTAAGATAGATCAAATTAGTTTAAAAATATTTAATATGTCCATTTTAATAAAAATAATAATATAAGATTTATATAAAAATTTTGGTCCCAATTTTAAAAAAAAATTAACATTATTCTATTTTAATAAAAATTGAGACTATATTAACTAAAAAATAAATATATAAACTAAATTGAAACTATGTCATATTTCATAATAATATCTTGATGTATAAAAAAAAATTCAAACAAAAAATTTTAAAAAGTCACACATTAAGACATAACATTGTTTTTTAATATTATTGTATAATAGTAACGGAATTTCATTAGAATTGTATTAATTTTTCATTAGAATTGAGAATAAAAAAATGTGAATGATTATTTTATACTCTCTTTTTTTAATGAAAATTAGATCAAAAGAATAATTAAATCTAAAGTTTAAGTGGATTAGATGTATTTATTAAAGTTATTATTTGGTTAGACTATTAAGATTCTCGTAAAAAGTTTAACACGTGTCGTTTCGCAAAAAAATATCAATTTGAATTTGTTTGTAATAAAAAAAATTATAATAGGAATGAATAAAAGTATAAATACAAAACAGAACAAGTATTTATGAGTTGTTTTGACGTGGTATTTGTCTTTAAGTTTAATACCTATTGTTTCGGATGTTCTCAGTCCGCGGGTGGGAGGCCTGCGAAAGATTCTCCGATGCCAAAGTCAGTTGAGAGTTATGGCGTTTTTCTTAGACATTAATAAATGTGCAGTAAATGCAACCTATGTACCACTCACCCTGGATCTGTATTTATAGTTTTCACTATGGGCTTGGGATTAGTGAAAAGTTAATCACGGCCCAATTCAGCCCAATAGCTTTTAACCCCTACTTACCTTAAGCTAAGTTGATTAGTGACGCGGCCGGCCGTCCTCGCGGGACTTATCCTCCTGATCGGGCCGGCTCTGACGGGTCAACGGCCTGGGCAGCCGGCTTCGGGCGAGTCTTGGTTTTGGGCACATGGGCGTCCGCCTAACCCTTCCCAACAATAAGTAGAAGGGTAGTTTCCCGGGTCCCATACGGTGATGTGGGCGGTCGGTCCGTCCGCTGGTCCGATGACATGGATGTCCTTCCGTACGGCGTCCGGTCCCTGCTGGTACACCTATTTTTATTTTTAGTTTTGTTCAAAATGGTAATATGATATTTTAGTTGTCTAGAGTTGTCACTTCTTTTATAAAAATAGTTTAATTTAGTTATTTTTATCCACGTTTAAAACATTATCAGTATAATGTCCACTTTAACCAATTTTTAATGACTTGTCTAGTTTTGTAATGTGGCAACATCAGTCCAATTGCTGTGTCAATGTTAAAAAGTTTAAATTATTATGTAAAAGGAAATTACAATTAGGTTGGAAGGAAAATTGGAGTTGAAAAATATGGTGAAATTGGATTTTAATTTTGCATGAGAGCTCCTTCGTTCTTCCATCAACCATGAATCCTCCATAACCTACAACAAACCTTAAACCCCAATCTCTAGAAACCCTAGATCTCCAATTTCTAAAACCATTATCGTCAACCGTGAGAACACCTAAATTCGCGAATCAATCTCGCGATTCCACCTTCAAACAACACCATTCTCATTCAACCACCCTCTTCAACCATGAAATCACATAGCGACAAACCCCCAAATTGTGACGCCACCATCATCGAGCTCTGCAACCACAAATAGACCTGCAAATTCAAACACAGAGGAACCCTAACCATTGTGTCACCTCTTATTCGTGATTCAACCTGCAAGAAACCATAAAACACACAAGTTTCAATGTTCGAAACCCAAATCACTTAAATAAAATAACCCAAAAATAGAGAAATTGTCACTTCAATTAGACTAATGTTGTCACCTATTGCAAAACTGGACAGGTAATTCAAAATGTGAATATCACACTCTTAGCCTTTTAAATGTCTTCAGTAAAAATAACTAAATTGAATGAAGACAACAACTATTAAACATTCTCTTTGTTCTCCTTTCTCTGGTGTTAATTTCAATCTAAACATTCATCATTCTTTTAATTTAATTATGTTAATGAATAACAATTTTCTATATCAGCATATGGGAAAGTATTATAAAATATATTATTACATTTAGAAATTATTATACATTGATACAATTTAAATCGATCTTATTTCCTACTTAGTTTGAAATGCTAAATGTTATATTATGATATGATAATATATATATATATATATATAATGTAATAACTTTTAAAGTAATATGCGTTAAATTTATGTCAATATTGATATATTTCAATTTCTCGGAATAGCTTATTATGATTCGATGATTCACGAATGTACATTTAGAGAGTTATTTTCTTTTTACTTTTTTAGTTATAATTTGAAATATTTTAATTTGATTATAATTTATAAACGCCCATATATACTAAAATAATTTAGTGGCATTGTGACGCCATGATTATAATATTATTAATATTTAAATTTAGAAAATAGTGGTAAAAGAACATTTTTTAGTATATTTTTTAATATTTAAAAGGTGACACTATTTATAATAATTTTTAAATTACTTTATGAGTATATATTAAAGTGCTATAATTATTTTTAAAAACAATTTCTATATTAATTTCATCTATTTGAAGTTTCATTAAGAAATAGAAGAATTTGAATTTCTCTCTCCTAAGTACACTTTTCCAAGCCCCTCAAAGCTTCACTCGTTCCATCCCTCGAAGCTTCAGAAGCTTTTTCTCTCGGTAGTTCGTTTCAGGTTTGTCTTCTTTTCTTTTTTCATGTCTATAATCTAGGACTTGTTAACTCAATTAATGTAGGGTTTGATGATTCAATTTGTTTTCCTTGATTTGTGTTTTGATTTTATTTCTTTCTAATTTCACTGATTTGCATTTTATCTCTATAATCTAGAGTTTGTTTGATCGATTTTTACCAAACTATCTTGGATTTGCATTTATTTTTGTTTGATTTCAACATATGTCAAAAATGTAAAATATAATGTATGTATGTGGCAGTGTTGCACTCGGTAAACATTGTTTTTCATCATCTTCTCCCCATATTTTCTCTACTGGTAGACATTACGCTGAACATTAATCAGACTCCTTGTTTGAAATGCATATCTGTGCTGCATAACCACCTTTCAACTTTCGTTATGAGCTGATATCTCCTTTATTTGAGTTATTAAAACCTCATGAACGGTGGAATTATAAGCAATTTCAAAATTAGACTAAATAGTTAGTAATGATGTAGATGAAGTAGAGAGCATCGCTTGGTGTTTCTCCATTTATTGAAAAGTAATTACAGATCAGCTAGCTCTAGCTAGAAAGCTATATGTCAAATGAGTGATGGGTTGTTTGCACACACACTGGAAAATGCTGATGGCATGTGTGCATTTTTAGAAGGAAAAAAATTAGGGCAGCATGCTAGGGAAGATTTAATCGGACTGCACGGTACATGTATATAGCTACATTCGAGATGATTGACGATGTTAGCTTGTTAGGATTCCTCCCTGCTAAGGGATATGTATAGATGAGGGAGACTAGCATGTATGTATGCATATTGAGCAATAAGACAAGGCTGCAGGGTTGACAATTTGAACCTTTGTTCATGTGTGTCCTTCGATTTGTTATGTTGATAACTAGTAATGTTGGCAGCACCACTGGATATATTTTTTGATAAAAAGAAGCCAAATGTGTAATCCACTCATTACTGTTTGTTGGAAACAGCCAAATGAGACAGCATCAAATAGGCGTTCTTAGTTAAAATGGTTAAAGAAATTGTTACAGGTCTTGTTATTTAGCAGAGGTAAGATATTAATAGAAGAAGCATATGTTAGTAAATTTTAAATTGGTCAATTAGTTTTGGGTGAGAGAATCATATTAAATAAATTTAGTATTTGTTGTCAACTGGAAAATTTGCAATAGTGAATCTGAACATTGACAACCAGAAGTTGAGATTTTCTTCAGTTAGCTTAAGAATATTGGGTCACTACCCTCCATTCTGTCATTGCAATTCTTTTCTTTACCAGCTAAGCTAGTCACTATTTTCTGTCAATCATAAA